ATTAAAACAGGAACCCTAGATTGATTTAATCACCCATACAAGCGAAAAAACGTAATGAAGATATTTAGTGCCAAATTGGTTTCTTGGGACCTTTTCCATGTAAATAATACAAATCAAACCTTGAAGTTCAGTGCAGATATGATCTGACAAGTAAGCCAGGCTTTTTGTTTTCCTTTGATCCAGCTCCAGAAATATTTTATCCAAGGTAAAGTTGGTTTTAAGTGTTTTCCATTTCAGTTTTTAATTTTGGATATTCATCATATAGGAAACTTGCTAATAATGCTTCAAACACCAGTCAGGCTGCACTGACTCAAAGCACGAAACGTAAAGATTTTCTTGTATTTGCTCGTAAGAGGGGGAATATCAAGAACTCCCAATGTGCCGCGGGATCAATTTCCATTGCTTGGTTACTTTTAAGGGTACAGGAAACATGGAAAACCCCAGCTGAATATTTCCAAATGTCAAGACAAGCCAACTACAGTATTTTTTGTACTGTTCCACTTCCCCTAGGTGTGTTGGGGAATAATACTTATGAAGATAATAAGATGGACAGGCTTTTGCTTTCTAATGATTCCTCAAATTCCCCACATATTGCCATTCCCTCAAGATGCCATCTGGGAGCAACACTGCCTTCTCTTGGAAGAAAATTTTCATGTGTTAGAGTTTTTTGTTTGGTTTTTTTTTTTTTTTTTGGTTTTTTTGGGGAGGAGGGAAGGTTCGTTGGGCTTTTTTGGGGTTTTTTTTCATTTGCTTGGTTGTTGGGGTTTTTGGGGTTTTTGGTTTTTTGGGTGTTTTTTGTTTGGTTGGTTGTTGTTGTTGTTGTTGCTTTGGGATTTTTGCATTTTACTTCTCCGATTCTGTTAAAAATAAAAATTTTAAATAATCTTTTTTCTATTCCGTTTCAAACCAAGACGCAGATTCTGCAGCCCAGAAATATATATATAAACCTGAACTTGTTCACAGTTTTCAGTGCTGTGTGCCTAAATACAGATTTAGGCACCTTGCTGTAGGCATGCAGTTTTCAAAAATTCAGCTCTTGTCAATAATGTAAAATCCTGTGGATTCTCTTCCTTCCACAAATTGGTATGTAGTATATTTAGAATTAACAGGGCCCGTTTTCTCTTTTGACTCAAGTATGTGGTGTAAGGTTAATGAAAATAAGATGGATATTTTATTTTGGGTCTTACATATAATATTATTAAATGTGCCCACCAGAAATGTAGGATAAAATATTTGCTCTGCTTGAAGATTATGTGATATTTGTATTCTAAGCCTCACCACAGTGGGTTTCTTTAAATAGAAGCTATACTTTACTCCTAAATTGCTTAAGGCAAAGGAAGCAGAGATGATGTTTTTATGAATGTTTAAATGCAAATGGAACTGAGAGTGAATGCTATGCTAGCTAACATCAAAGGCTCACCAAAGTCTCTGCATTAATGAGGCTCTTTGTTTCCTGGATCACAGATTACAACAGGTTTCCAACTCATTGCCAAGGCTTTATCTCCATTTGGGAGGGCTGTAAATCTCAGACGATTTTTTTCACATGCAAAACAAGAGGATCATCTGAAAGAAGAAGGAAAAAAAATCTTAAAGTAGCAAATATTTCATTCAAATGATTATTCCTCAAAGTGGCTGCATCTTATTTTATTTTTGGGATGTTTAAAAGAATGGAAATTTGCCAACGGAGTTTCCTATGGGGCAGTTTATTCATTTGGAGGAGAAAACTAAGCAGGAAAAAAGCAAACGGCATCCTTCCCATTTTCTTCAGCCCAGCATCAACTGTGCCCCAAAATCAGAACAATAATTCTATGTCATGCAAAATCAGCAATTAGCAGAAAGACAGATTTTGCTCCATTTAAATATATTCAAGTACTTTTCAAAGTGGCTCCAACTAGTTCTTCTCCTCCCCAAAAAATAATGAGATTATATCCCTAGTAATAATACCCTAATTAACAAGAGAAATAGGGACCAAGATTTTTAGCTTCCTATTCAAGGGCTGAATGTGACAATATGTTGTATATTGGGTCATAAAAAACAATTTACATGGCGTCATTACAGTCTGTAGCAAAGTCTCCAGGACCCAGGGCTATCTTGTGCAATCTTAATTAAGGAAAATAAATATCGGTGTGTTGTTTTAAGCTACTGGAGACATGCACAGGACCTGTCGTGTGTGATCAGAAGAGATGGGGAGTTTCCTTTTCTATGGGAACTGCTTAAAAATCCCTCCGACGCCGACACACAAGTGTCTAGTGCCTTCGAAATGGGCTGCGAAGATGGTAATTTCTTGTTTCCTGACCCTCGGGGCCAGGCAGGAAAACTAATAATTTTCTGCCACCCCACGTCACGTCTGTGCCGC